GTTTGTCTCCTCAGGCCTGGCTCCAGGGTGAGGCCCTGGTCTCCCCAATCTGGGCGGGGTCACCTGGTCTTCTGAATCCCACTTAGTCTGGCTGCTCACCTAGGACTAATTTGCCATAGGAGACCCTACCAAGGGCAATTGTCCCCAACAACTTTGTTCCTAAGATCACAGAGGCACACGAACCCCTCCACCATGAAAAGGTATAGCTTCATGGATGTGCCTTTGGGAAGAGAACTGTACCAGGGCTGTGCATGGTTCAGGCGGGAAAAAGGTGACCATCTACTTAAAAGTTCAAGACAAAGGGATTCACTGGGGAAACTGAACACGCTGGATAAACTACGAAACAAAAAGATGATGTGCTGTCAAAAGCAAATGAGGGAAACAAGAACTAACTACAAAAATGATGAAAAGGTAACAGAAGGAAAAAGAGCAACAGAAGGAGCAGAACTAGAAAACCCAAACAGAGCAACAACAACAAAACACAGTAACTTGAGCACAATGACTGACTAAAGAACTGAGCAGGGGCAGGAACTTAAATATATAAGGCAACTGGGCTAACGGGACTGCCAAGGTGTGAAACATGAGACATCCAGTAACATCTGCACAGGGAAAACAGGCAAAAGGTGCAATAACTTATACTAATGAACACAAGACTAGGGAAACTCCAACAAGCACTGAATTACTGAGTAAGAAATGACAGGGCACACCACATAATACTAAGGTTTGGTATACTTCAGTACAATATGCACTGTAGCAGGGCACACCACATAATACTGTTTTGGTATACTAAGGTTTGGTATACTTCAGTGCAATATGCACTGTAGCAGGGCACACCACATAATACTGTTTTGGTATACTAAGGTTTGGTATACTTCAGTGCAATATGCACTGCGGGGCACATCACATAATACTGTTTTGGTATACTATGGTTTGGTATACTTCAGTGCGATATGCAATGCAGCGGGGCACATCACATAATACTGTTTTGGTATACTATGGTTTGGTGTATGTCAGTGCCATGTGCACTATAGTGGGGCACACCACATAATACTGTTTTGGTATACTATGGTTTGGTATACTTTTTGCAGTTTAAAGTCTGACCCATTTATTAAACATAAGGAAATGCCATATTTATACTATTATGCATCATAAAAAAGCATCTCATTAATATTTTAGCCATACTACTAATCTGCTTCACAAACTATGGGCGTAAATAAACATCCGTATAGTACCCAAAAGCTGGCATCTGGCCAAATGCTTCGCCTGTCATCTGAAGCCATGGTGATTATTGCGCATGTGCAGCCCTACTAGCAAATGAATGCAATGCTGTGCACCGTCAAGTGGGAGTCAATCCTTGCCAGTGTAAGCAGGTAGAGGATGGATGAACGCTGGATTGCCCTTTTGATCACATTTTAACCCAGTAAGAAATGTTGTTGCTGAGTTTAAGTGCACAAAGCATTTTGTGTCATTAGTCATAAAACTGCACGCCCTTAACTGATACCCCACCTCCTGATTAATATTAAACTACAGTATTGTTTGGTTATTTGGAAACCTCCTGCAGCTCACTTCATTTTTCTGAAATGATTTTGTGATAAACAAAATAGAAATGGTGACACAAACGCTTCAAATGTCTATGACTGTCTCGCCCTACCTGCCCGCCCCTCTCGTTCTCTCCCGCCCCCCTTGTTTTGTGGTACCTCTCATTTCAGCCCTCGTGTGAATCACTCCAGCTGCCTCTCCTTTGCTCACTCATCAGTGGTATTATAAAGTGTCCCCCCGGTCATGTGCTCCCCAGTCCAGTCATTGACGTTGCTCCCTACTTGTGCTTCAGAGTTTGTCTTGTGCTTTAACCTTGTCTGATCCCTGTCTTCCCATTTTGACCCCCTGTGGTCTCTTGAATTTGCCCTGTTTCTGTTTCGGCTCCCCCCCCCAGCTCTTCCCTACGCTTGCCCTTGCCGCCAACGATCATGTATAATCTGAAATGGTATTTTTTAGTAATCCATTAATTATTAATACATAAAGTCTTTAATTATTATGTCATTGTTCTAGATGCTTTCTCATTGCTTTTTCAATTATAGGCAATAATGTACTGATAAACCTTACATATCGGACCCATTTAGTGTAAGAACTGAACGAATCTCTGAATGGTTCATGTTGTAGGATGAACTGGAGAGAATCGACTCACTGTGCCACATGGTGACCTCACTGCATCACTCAAAGCCACTGCAGTGACTCACACAGGTTTACTGGTAGAGTGTGAACCAGGCCTGCACTGGCCATCTGGCAGTGCTGCCCCTCCCCATTGGCAGAATTTACCATGGATATGTATGAGTTAGCAGTTGCCGATTTGCAGATGATAGAAGTGAGATAAAATGCAACTGGGTTTGTTACACATATTATAATCTGAGCTTTTCAATAGATACTGGTATTTTTAGCTGAACCCTACATTGTAAACTGAAATATGTTTTGAATATATGAGCTATTTAAATTACTTTATAACATTGTGTTAGTATTATAAATAGTAGCCATCATTTTAATTCATGTGTAATATTTTAAGGTGTATCCGTAAATTGTTTTCATATGGTAAGTGGGGGCGCCATGTGTGTGTCTGTGTGTGTATGTTTAAAAATACTATTAAAACATGTTACACTTTAATTTTGGTTAAAACTAGTGGTGTCAATCAATTAAAATTAATCCAGTTAATCACAATAATAGGCTGTGATTAATCATGAATTTTTATTTATTTTATTTTTTTTGTTTTTTTTTTTTAATACAAATCTTGGTTTTAATAGTTGAAACCATTCAGTGGCATAGTCCCAAATATCTAAGCTGCTTACGTAATTAGCAACTATGCCTTTGGGCAATGTACCCCTGCTCTGTTTTATTTTTTTAATTTTTCATCCTATTTCGCTCCTTCAGTTTTTGAACAAACAGAGAACACAAAAGAAGCATCATTTATGTGAATTATACAAGTGTTTCTAGTGCAGAAGGTAATATTTTGCATAAAATAATTTTCAAGCAGTACAATCCGCACTCTTTTAAGTTATTTTACGACATGTATTATGAGAAACATATGTAAAATTATTGCTTTGTAGTCTTATACTTGCAAAAAAGTCCTATAAATTATACTGAAAAACGCTAAAAGAATATTCTAGTCACCAGTAGTTTGCATATAGTTTTTTTTTCTTTTTAGGTTTTCGTTTTTACAGCGGCGATCAAAATGAGAAAACAAGTGACATTTTGAGATTTACAAAGTTACTGCTTATCCGAATTTGCAGGTATCCATGAATTATTGAAGAGATGTATTTTTACCATTTTTCCCTCAGTGAAAACTCTCACATCACAAAATGAAAGGTTGTAGCTCCTCCCTCAATCAGTGTAAACAGAACCCAGAAGTGCTCTTGTTTATGGGAGTTTTCACGTAATTTCTTCACCAATCGCGGGATTACCGCATCGTTATCATATGAATAGCACTATTAACAAATGGGTGCATGGGTGATCAGGTTTGCTTTATCTATGACAATAATTAACTTGCAGAGTTTTTTTTTTTTATCGATCCGGCGATTTCATACGATTTATTTTTGTTAAAAACAAGATAGTATGTTAAGGATTCCAGATTGATCACATTAATCGTGTTAACGTTAACAGCACTAGTTAAAACGTTTTTAAAAACCTCACCTGACGTTGAAAGCGCGGCCCAGAGGTGGCGTTGCTGCTGCTGGAGCAGAGGTACACCACAGAAATTCACTCTGTCTTTGGTGACTTGTCTTCTGATGGTAGATGTATGTCTCTGTCTTGTTCAAAACAGACTAGGTCTTTCAGTGTAACTTTTTCATGAAATCAAAAAAGTGGATCTTGGTCTATTCAATTAAAGTCTGTGTAGTGTAATTCGAAATTCTACCACTAGATGTCAGAATGACACTCCCCACTTTGCTGAGAGGCAGCATCGCGGTCAGCCGAAGAACTTAACTAAGAATTCACCCGAAAGAGCAAATTCGAGAAGTTGAACATTGAACATTCACCAAGACCACACCAGATATCAATGCCTTCTACCTTTTTAAATCACATTTTGCTCTTTGTCGTTCAGTGGTGGGGTGTGGCCAGGTCTGATGTCACGAGGGGCAAATGGGGAAGTTGCCCTGGACCCAGGAATTCTGAACGGCAGTCCTGGTGGCACTCTGTTACATAATAGGTTACAATCACAACCACACTATGTGAAAACATATCCTGTGACATATCCCCCCCCCCCCGTGTGACAAGGTGGGTTAGAGAGGTGGGTGGGGGTGCTGCTCTATTACTTCCAGCCATTCCCCTTAAAAATATTTGTGTACGGAGAGAGGTGGCTTTCCTGTGTCCCAGAAAATGACCAGCCATGAGCCTACGCCCCCCTGCCGCCCTGAAAAAAAAAACAGGTTGAAAGAGCACAATGGTGCGCCAGCGCCCCCACGGCCTGCTGGGAGTCGGCGGGTTCACAGAGGCCCGTCCTTAAACGACCTCGGCCTGCTCCCTAGGTCTAAGGTAGCATTTCCACACCAGTAAATCCCATATCGGTAAGAGAGCCAAGATGTTACCCAACCCAGTGAATATAGCTGGTGACTAATGGGATAAATCAGCTTCCTGGCGCATTGCTTTCAACGTCGGGTTGCCATAACAAGCGTGGTACTTTCCCTGGCACTCGTTGTCGGACCGCTAGCTACAGGCTACGCCGTACAGACGCAGCTCAGTTAAGCGATATACTCCTTCAGACGGGGTGACACTTGTCCCTTAGGAATAGTCCAGATTATCTCTCACCCCGATATCTAGTATCAACTGTATCATGGAAGGTTTGCACTCTAAATGCTAATTAGCGTGAGCGCCGTTAGCACAAACGCGAGTGGCTCAGCAGAGAGGGGGCCAGACCCTGTCTTGCACGTGTTTGGTAGAAAAGTCTCCTGCGATCCTGTCATTCCTGACCGGCCCCTTTTGTTCCCGTTTCTTCGGTGGTACGTCCCACTTTGCAGGGAGCTCTCGAAACATAACAGGAAGTGGGGAATCTGGTGCAGAGGCTCTACTAGCGTCCTGGAGGAGCCAAGGACCCAGCGATCAGGACAGAGGGAGGAGGGAGTAGCACCACAGGCGGTAACACTGGGTGGGACAGCCAGTGAAGTGGGGGCTTATGGTCATTGGCCTCCCTAAAGGAGTGGGGCTCATCTTTCTGTGAGCTACGAGCTACCGCTAACACATGTGCATCACTGCAGCAGCCGGGGGTGCGCACAGCACCGTGTGAAGCCCTGCCCACATCACGCCGGCTGCCCAGATGTTCTGAGAGGCTCGGAGAGCTCTCTGTAAGATGGCTGGGCCCCCACCTCCCGCCCACACACACTAACCTGCTACATGAACCGCTACTTGAAGTTTACAAGGCTTAGCCTAGTGGCCCCAATCACAGCAACCTCATTTAAATGGCCACTCTGTATAGTTACACCTCTCCATGAACTGCCTGTTAGCATTAGCCGTGTTAGCCGTCACCACAGCTGCATGCCCCGTGTTTAGAGATCTGTGTGTTAGCATTAGCCGACATGTTCTGCATCCCACCTGTTCTGGAAGTTACAAAAGTCTCCTGCAAATTCACAGCAGCTGCCTGACACTCATGAAGGATGCGCAATGTGCTGGAAATCGTTCGTGATTTGAGGGAGGTGGATCAGGGACGATCGGGGCAGGGATGCTTTTCTGAAAATAGCCTACCCAATCAAATTTCATCTGGAAATACCGTAATAACGTAAAATTTGTCGGGTGGGTGGGGCAGGGTTGCTGCAGTAAAGCTTCTTCTTTTACTGCTGCTGAATAGTGGGACGATTTTTCTGAGACATCTGTGCATCATCCGTGGGTGTCAGGAAGCTGCCGTCAATTTGCAGGAGAGGTAGGATGTCTCATATTAGTGCTTGTCCTGTTAGTTGTTACCACGGCTGTGTATTGTGGGCCCTGGGCCTCAGATGGTCACTTGCACCAGGGTGGTGTAAATGATGGTGAAAGGCAGTCAGTATAGAGTTCGCCCTCCCTGGGGAGGCCATGGTGCGACAGTCTCATCTATGCATCGGCAGGGGGAGGTGGACTGTTAATGTGACTCACCTCCCCGTTCTGCAGGATTAAAACTCACACCCCATTTTCCCTGGAAAGCTGTGATTTCTCTCCAAGGGAGGGGGGGGGGGGGCTCTTGGCGCTTGCTCACACTGAAACTGGGATGAGGGGAATGTTTGCCAATGCGGGTGTTTGTAAACAGTGCCTGTGCTGCCTGCAGTGTGTTTGCTCAGTCGTCTTTGTGTGTATCAAACAGAGCAGCATGTACTGTAGCATTTAGCCTATGCCACGTGCAGGGTGAGCGTGTCTGGGGGGGGGGGGGGTCCTCCCTACGACCCAATGTTCTTTGGGCTTAACAGTTGTTTTATTTTCCCTGGCAGAACCTAGTCCATTTGGCTCCGCCTTCCCCTCCCTACCTGGCCCCACCTTCTCTGTCTGGCTCCGCCTCTGCCTGACCCCAACATTCCCCGGTTGCATTCGTCCCATTCCTCACCCACCCTGCCCGCCATCTGAACCACTGACAGGTCACTCTTTTGTTTCTCCCAATAGCACTAATCTCACATAAATGCAGCCTGCTTGGGGGACAGCACATGAACTGGCATTAAGCACCAACTGGACACTGAACCGCAGATGGCGGTTAAAGGGTGACCGTTAAAGGGTCATTGTTACCACTGTAGTGCTGCTCACTGACACCCCCTGCTTGTGGGGTTGTGTCGGAATGCAGAACACAAAACAACCAGAAGGCAGTGACATAATGTCAACCTGCAGGAGCCGGGGACGCCGTGGCCTCAGCGATGAATGGTGGGATGTGGCAGGGCCCACAATGCCCGGGAGCGGCACAGGAAGTCACCCTCCACTGCCACAGGAAACGGCACCAGAGCCACCGTCTCGCCGCATCGCCAGCCGGCTCCCTGCTCCCTCACCACGCCCTCTCTAGAAGTTTAATCCTGCACCTTCAAACCATCACCCACGTTCTCATCTCTGGGGCGATTCGGACGCAAAACAGGCTTCAGCCGATTACCACTGAATTCCCAGCCACCCTCAGGCTCACGTACCAAGCGGAGTCCTCTTCAGGGGGCAACAGCTTGGGAACGTTCCGGCAATGCTCCGCCAGCTGCTACGGGGGGCGCTGCCTTTGGCAAGCTCAGAAGCGCGGTGTCCAAGTCATGTCCCGGAAAAACAGAGAAGCACACACCCACGCCTGGAGCGGGGGGGGGGGTCAGCCTGTCAGGTGGCAGGGCGAGGAAGGAGGGCGTGGTCAGCCTGCAGAGAACAGGTACCGACCAGCTGCTGGTGCTGCTGTTTGTTTGGACTGTGGAGCGAGCCTGGTGCATTGTGGGTACTGCCTCTGTTTATGTTTATATAGGTCTGTGCTGTATCAGTGTGAGGCCAGACTGACTCACCAATTACACACACACACACAGGCACACATAAAAACACACTGCTCTAATCACACACAGACAAAACGACTTCTGCAGTAGACAAAACTCTACGGTGATTCATTCCACTGAAAAGAGCACAGATGATGTAACGCATTCTGCTATTTGGGACTCAACCGAGGGTCTCCATGTCGGACAAACGTATCCCTGGGTTTGGGTTTGGCAGCCAGGCCTTCCAGTCATGGTTAGCTGGGTGTCAGTCAGTTAGATGTGAGGAAAAACACAGCATTTTTGTAATTGTTAACATTGTGGGGACCAGATTTTCTCACAACGTGATAAAAAATCTGTCACCTTTTATCTTGTGGGGACAATTTAATAAAAAAATCTGTGAATGCAATCAAAAAAGCAAAAAATGCCAAAAGTCTTGTATTTTGTTTGGTTACTTATGGTTAAGGTTGTCAGTGTTGGTATTAGAGTGATGCCCATATATATGAATGGAGAATCGCCAAAGGTATGAAAACATGGACTGTGCATGTGTTTCTGTGTCTGCGCGTGATTCTGAGGCCTGTTCTGGCTCCAGAACGCCTCACAAGGGTTACCATTGAGGACTGAGTCTCTCACCAGGGGTAGGGCACTGAGTGAAGGGGGTGCTGGTTAATGTTCTGCTCTGGTCATACTTCAACAACCCTGCCAATGTTATTGCTGCTCAAACATTAACTAGGAGGCAGGCTGGTGTTGGGCTGGGCACCCGCAGCAGAACACAGCCGTGGGTATTAATAGCTCACAGGGTGCTTTTGTGTTCTGATGAATCCAGCCAGAAATTGTGTGTCTTGGCCTGAGAGCCAGGAACAGGTTAACACACAGGACTTAAGGGGGTGGGAGGAAGAGGTGCACAGGTCAAAGGTCACTGAACACCACCCCCCCCCCCTGTAAATGATAAGGTGCTGGACCCAGTACTGTTCAATCACTTGTCCTCAGGGGCTGGTTTGCTGTTGATTTTGGGGCCCTATGCCCCCCTATTGAAGCAACTTTGTGGTAACAAGAGGCCCCCAAACCTTGAGTGGGGGTAAAGGTCACCGCTGTCTGTCCTCTGGGGCAGTGGGTTACGCCAGCGACCCACATCTCTTCCTCCTCGGCCTCCTAACAGCTTTTGCTGGAGGAGAGTGAAGATGGATCCCATCATCTGCCTGGAACAGCCTGGGAAACACCAGTGAGCACAGGAAGCTGCTTTGGGGGGGGTTCCCTCCCTGACCAACACCCCCCCCCCATGCTCTTTAGTGACGCCAGAACGGAAAGCATACAAAACAATCTGGCACACAATATTTATTTAAAACACAACAAACGATAGGTTAATTACCAAATAGTCCACAAATATTGTGGGAACGGCATCAACACAGTCAAACAAAAGGGGAAAAACATTTAAGAGGAAATATTTAGGAACAGGAGAGCCTAGAACTTCCTGCTGAGAGAATGAGAAAAAGGGAAGACATAAAAGGTGTTTATTCATCAGATAACAAAGAGGTTATATCACACATTACAGCTCTGTGTAAACACTCATTCTATTCTGGAATACATTAAACATAGGCATCTGTCCGCCATTTTGATTCCCACACTTGCCAGATTTAATATCCAGAAGCTAAAGAGGACGACACCATTCCTGAATCTCCCCAGAGCAAAGCTGCCTTTTCCTGCTAGTTGCAGAGGAGAAGAAAATCCAACCAAATACAGAAAAAAATTGACATTTCCAGAGTAATATGACTGTTACACAGCTGTCCTCCAGTAGCTACATCGCCCCCCCTGCGGATTCATGTGGTCGGTATTCATAAAATAATGTCACAATTCCTGACACATCATGCAGAGTGAAAAGGTCATCAAACGTCTTACTTGCAAATAGTAGTCTACTTCAAGAAGCAGTTCTGCAGAGCCACCCTCCCCCAAGAATAAGAAGTAAAAATCCACCCACAAAATAATACAAAAACATGTAGTTTATATATCATCATCTTTGACCTCAGACAAAGAAATGCATCCTAAGTGTCGCATGAACAGAGCCAACAACAGCTTGTATAACCCAGTGTGATACAATGTTGACAACTGGTGATCCCTGATTGGCTGGAAAGGAATAGTCAGGTGACTGCTGAGGTAAGTAGTTTCCCAGCATCCCCAGGCAGCGAGAGGTGGCCTCTTATCACATAAACTCTGATACACAGAGACACCAGATCCAGGAAAAACACACATATACACACATCCGCACGGGGACATGGCGTGTTCACGCTTTAGGGCTGCGTTGGTCTTCTGCAGCTGTGGTGTAACACGAGTCTCCTTTCCGTTTTAGTATTTTTCGTTTGATTTGTGCGCATGTCGCTCTTGCGTCGAATTACACGCAGCGGTCCCCGCTGTCACCTCCGGGCCACCTGGGCTCTCATCTTTCGGCCTCCATTGCCACGCTGGCTTTTTGTTCAGCGGGCGAGCCAGCGGGTGCCATTTGCACGTTTGCCTGCCCGGGAGTCCACAGTCCCTGCTGGCCCGGCGGCCCTGGTGGGCCGAACGCCCAGCCAACCTGGGGGGGAGGAGAGGCGGCGGTGGAGGCGAGGGGGCTGCTGGCGGAGAAGCCGTCGGAGGCCTTCAGGCGGGAGAACATGGTGAGTGTGTCGGGGAAGTTGGGTGGCGTGGCCGGCGTGTTGGCGGGTATACAGTCATACACAGCCTGAGAACAGGGAATAGCCTTGGTACATGTTGCTTTAGTAACTTCTGTTTTTAAAGGATCCTCCTTGTAATGGATCAAGGGAAGGGGATCGGATAGAGAGCCATAGTTAGAAAGCAGAAAGGGCAGGGATGAGCCGCCAGGCTGAGGCTCTCCTGGGGGGTTTCAGGACCCCTTGCTGGACCCCCCCCCCCCGATGCTCAAGACATGTGATGCCCTCACAGTTATGGATGTGCAGAGATAGCTGCATACACACACACTGCACACACACAAAAACTCATCTCCTCCCACTACTGTGCAGTCAAGCCTAGTGAATGTTACACATGAATGTCCCCCCCCCCCCCCCCCCAAGGTTTGGTGGAGTGTATGATTAATGTTAATTTCTAGATGAACTCATTTGCATGTGGGGCATCTCTTGAACAACGTGCTTTAAGGCCCGCCCATGTGACGCCCTAGGGGACAGCGAGACACCCTGGGCAACAGCGAGACACCCTGGAGGACACAGAGATGCCCTGGGGAGATTGAGATGCTCTGGAGACACTGAGATGCCACTGGGACACAACACAGCTGGGGGGACACAGAGAAGCCCTGGGGGACACAAAGATTCCCCGGGGAGAGTGAGATGCTCTGGGGACACTGAGATGCCACTGGGACACAACACAGCCGGGGGGGACACGGAGACGACCTGGGGAGAGTGAAATGCTCTGGGGACACCAAGATGCCCTTGGGACACAACATCTCTAAACTAGCAGCTCATACGTTCAGGACAGAGATGAAGCTCAACTGCCATCTCCAGAGACTGGGATAAATCCGACACTTTACAAGTCTACTGAGGACAGCTGATTAGGGTCGCAGCCCTGTCACTAAGCTGCAGTACCAGCCCCCACCACCAGGAGGGGATGGGCTTCATTCTTTTATAGCCTCAGAAGAATTCTCTACTACTGACTGCTGTCCGCTGATCTGTGAGAACAAGCCCACTTCCTGATCTCCCTCTGGGAAAAGTAAGTCCGTGAGAAAATACAGAAATGAAGGAATGTGAAAGAAGCAGGGAAAATAGTGCTGTATAATGTACAGTATCACACAATGCTACCTTTTATCCTACTGGTAGTATTAGAATTATAATGTGTGCTACAGTGTCATTGTTTTATAATGCTGTTAGTACTAGTGTTTATGTTACATTTATGTTATGGTATGATGGATGGATGGATGGATGGATGAAAGTCCTTCACAGTGTTCAAAGCATACTCAGTCTGTATATATTACAGTATATATTGCATTATGTGGATAAATGACCCCACAATGTGATAAAACCCTGTTATTTTGATGGTGTGGGGACCATTTTTTTCGGTCCCCACAAGGGGAAACTCAATTTTATAAATATTTGATACATATTATAAATATAAAAATCTATGACTGCAATCAAAAAACTAAAAATGTCAAAAATCTTATATTTTGTTTGATTATCTATTGTTACGGTTAGGGCTGGGTAGGGTTTAAGGTTGTCATAATTGGGAATGTAAAATGAATTAAGTCCCCACATAGATGTAGACAACTAATCTGTGTTTGTGTGCGTGCGTGTGTGTGTGTGTGTGTGTGTGTGTGTGTGTGTGTGTGTGTGTTTGTGTGTGTATGCTCAGATTCTGAAATCACCAGCATAGCCTAAATAAATTTTGTGGGGAGTCTGGCAACACCAACCAATTTTGCAGACCACAGATTTTACCAACTAGGGGGCAGGGATCCCCTACATAGATTTTGCCAACTGCAATTAGTCCTCCCACCAGTAGGGGGCTCTGAATATTGCATTTAAAAGGCTAACAAGCACAGTCTTGTCCCGAGTGGAACATTAATAAAAAACAGTCACAGTATGGTCAGGGTAAAGTGCATGGTGATTTATCTTGAAATGACCATGGCAAAACACATAAACATCCCAAGGAACTTTAAATCGATGCGTAATTTGGGAAAGTGCAGTGTGAATAAGGCTCTGAGGGCCCTAAGCTTAGCTTCAGCAATGAAAACACCTCTTCTTCTGTCAAGGAAATGGCATCATTCCGAGCTTCCCTCTGGAATGCCATGTGCTGCTCGTATTTTCAAGGTGAGCCCTTCCACTGGACTGAAGAAATGAGTGGGGAGGGGGTGCTAGCGAGTTCTCAAAGCGAGGCCCAATCGGCAGATAGGTCCAGGCCCCTAAGCCAGCCAATGGTGCAGGCTGAAGGCCAGGACGTCGATACTCCATCAGCTCAGCTCAGAGATGGTGATTCTAGCAGAGAAGCTGCCTTTCCTAGGTGAGGGGGGGGGGGCCCACCTCACATCAGTCTGGTTACACATAGCTAGCCCCAAGCTAATGTCCAAGCCTCTACTTCAACACCCTCGACCGCTCCTGCCCCTCCACAGGCAGCCATGCCCAGACAGTGAACCTCCGCAGCAGAATGTGGTGCCCCTTTTAAAAAGTTACCATGGTATCATCGTGTCAGTATGGTTGTACTGGATTCTACTTTAATTGTTTTTCTCATTTGTGCATGGTACATTTATGGTATTATGATACACACATGGTATATGATCCTAGTATTTGAACAGTATTTTATTTTATACTATGGTACTCTGTTTTGATACCATAGTATTCTGTCATGTCTCATAGCATTCATTTCCAATGTACATTGGTACTATGATATTCAGAACTGTAGTAACTGTATTATAAACATTGGACTGCGATCATTTCAGTGATATCCAGTGTAATGGATTTGGTGATGAAATCAGAATTTCACCTAGTGAAAATGCAGAAATCAATAATTATGATGTTGCATTTTGTTTTTGCCATTTCAAATACAGACACAATTTAAAATATTTTATTTCTGTTTTTTTTAACGTGTTTTGATTTAAAAAAAAAAAAAAGTTTCCTTTAATATTTGCCAATGAAACACTTATATTGGTGGTTAATTGGTTGACTTCACAAGACTATTAAAGTTTTTTCTTCACTAAGCCAAAACAGAAACATTTCATGCATAGTACATTTCATGACTTCAGTGCATTATGATGATGTCAGTGCTATATCATTACAATACTATGGTGAACATTAAATAAAATACTATTGAAAATAAGCTAATATTACTATTGTATCGCATATTTTAAAACATGTTATTACCATAGTACAATACAAAAAGCTTAAGTGATTACCACTGTATTTTAACTGAAGATACATTGTAATACTATGTAGTATAGTATACCATGGTATATAGGTAGCCCAATTACAATGATTTTACCATAGTGGTACTACTATGCTATTACTTTGATTATAATACCATAGTACTTTTTGTAAGGGGTGACACATGACACAGTAAGTGATACTTCATACTGTTCCAGCCACCGAAGCCGATTCCCAGTAAGATACTGGGTGTAAAATGGACAGAGAGATGGTATCAGTGTGTACTGGGGGCTCGCAGGAACACTTACATCACCAATAAATTGAGCCTACAGTCTAACTCTTTGTATCAGTGAACAGTAAAACCCAAATACTGTTTCTAAAAGTGGCCCAAAATCAAATCTGTCAACACATCCGATTCATACCCCCCGTAGCTGTATCCTAATGAAACTGCAAACACAACAGCGATCCGTCTCCAGCCGGCGCGCGCACTCACATACACGCACACACACGCGCGCAAACACTCACACAGCATGGCAAACCCCGCTGTTGGCCAACAGAAAGAGACAGGAAATCGCAGGGCGGCTGATTCACAGCACAAGTGTTAGTTTGTAGCTATATCGGGCTGTGGGTGGGGAGTCTTTGACCGGGGGCAATGAGGATGAAGAGGAAAAGAAAGAAAGAAAATAATAAGCTTTCTGATGGCAGGAAATCTCTACCGTGAAGTCACACGTCAGGGACGTGACCATATGAAACTGTGAGCACACAGCCAGGTCCCCCTTAAAATCGTGTCACTTGGTGGGACGGGGTTTTTTGGAACTTTTGGCTACAAACACAGAGGAGCGAATAAAATTATGTCACCGACATATTCACGGTGCGATCATGTTTCAAAAATGGGTCATGAACTGGATCACACCAAGCTCGCGACCAAATCCCCACGGGCAATTCGTGTTATAATGTACTCGCGATGACAAACGCGTAGTTAACCTGCCCTTACCAGGCATTACTGGTGTCTGATTCATTTCTTCCTGCAACGCTATACTTTGACCCTGTAATCTAAAGGGCTGGTCTGTAATTATCGTCAATCCTTATCTGCATACGAGCGCCTCAAACGTGAATTTATGCCAAACTCTAATTGTGATCAAACTGCGCTCCGCTGTCCGCAGTACTGATTGAATAAAGTCATTCTGATTCTGAAGATGGACAGTGACAATTTAGTAGTGGTATTTTTTTTTTCTGAAATACATTCAAATTAGCACAAGGACGTGGTCCAGCGCTCCGGCTTTTTTAATGGGGGGGTAAAGGGGTGTTGGGTACAAACTGCACTTTCAAAATGATGTACACACTTTTCCTGGAACTACCCTCATTCTCGCTCGTAAGACATACAAACCACAAAAAAAGTAGAGCGTGTGCCGCTAAAGGCGTGGTGAGCTTGCACACGTACTCCTTGTAAGATGTTACTGTGCAAGACGAAGATACCGCCAGCACGCTTATGTTTATTTTTTGTCAGCTCCGGCACTGCACAACATGGCGGACAGTAGTACTATTACTAGAGGTAGTAGTAGTGAATAATAATAATAATAATAATAATAATAATAATAATAATAATAAATTAATAAATAAAATAAAAACAATAATAACAACAATTATAATAATAAATTAATAAATAAAATAAAAACAATAATAATAACAATTATAATAATACATTAATAAATAAAATAAAAACAACAATAATAATGATAATAATAATAATAATAATACTAATAATAATAATTGGGACCACGATAACAGCATAGCCTACATAACTTTTATTTGAGATACTTACCATTTGATGGTGATGACTGTACGGGATATTACTTTCCTGAAAAAAGGCACTGAGTGCAGTCTAGAAAAGAGAAGAAAATGACAATTGACTTGGTGATTAAAGCCGTTATTTTATTTCACGCTGTTAACATCGGGCATGCATAACTGTAACATCCCCCGGCCAGCTCCCAAACATGCGGGTCTCTGTCGAAAGGCACGAATAAGTGGCATTTTATGTCACCTTCCGCACAATTATATGGGTTTTATTCTTTAAATGCCAATAAAAATTTCACGCAATCTCTTGCGAGGCAGCGTGCACCACCGTGAAAGCGCACTGAATGTAAAAATACAGATTAACGCGATACGTTTCATGCATAACAGCATTACTGGTATGAGAAACAATGAAGAAAGGTCCACGTTATCTACAGATAATAGCATACAAACCGGCGTGACGGTGTACTTGGTTCACCACCTCATTATATATTAGATTTATAAAAAGCAGCTCATTTAAGAAAGCATTCAGAATACACATTCAGGACTTTAGAAAACCTGTATAACAAGTTGTTTTAATGATCCAGATGCACACTGTAAACCCCGCATAGAGGCGCCCACCTCGAACTGCCAGTGTGCCGCTTGTAAGAGCTGCTTCGCCTGGTCCGCCGCACATCCAGCTGTCAATACGAACTGGTTGATCATCACTTGGTGCTTCAGTTCATCCATTTTATTACGATTGCAAATTACAGCGCACAGCCCCCGGATTGCCGTCCTTTGAATAGCTTTATTTTCTCTCTCTCTCCCCCCTCTTTCTCATTTGCTCTCTCGGTCGTCCACCATTATGAGCAGCCGGTGTGCAAACACAAATATTTACTGTAAGAGCACCAGTGCCACTGTGCGTCCCTTGACTGACAGATAACAAGCGTCGAGAGGGAGGGACATGGGGACGGTGGGAGATGTAGGCAAAAAGCTTTCAAATGGTGCTTGTCAATTTCAGGAACTCGCGTTTTCTCTCTTTTTTAAGCAAGTTTTGTTTATGGTCGCATAATCATAATACGAGAATTGCTTGTTTTTAAAAAATTTAAGTTAAGTTCTTATGTGTGTGTTTAGAAATATCTTACAATTAGAAGACATTAGGCTATGTGCCGTTTACATAGCAATAAAATAGTAAAAGTTACCCACATAAAGTATTTTCAGTTCTGATTTAGGGTCATATGTCTTTCAAAACATTAAGCATTCATCATTAAACAAATATATATAGCCTATATGTACATATTCATATGGCTGCACACCGTTATTGTATTCCTATATTTCAATTTATTTAAAGCAGTTGCTTGTGCGCTCCTCGGGACTGCAAATCCCGACATGACATGTTTTGTTTGGAAAACGCTACAAAGCAAAATTTGTGAATGACGGCCGTGGTTGGCCAATACCCAAACACTCTATGTTACTGTCTTACCAAATAAGGTAACCAAACTTTCAAGGACCAATAAAAGCCGAACACAGGCGGGGACTTAGAACTCGGTAGCACGTTGCGGCACGTTAAACGTGAAGGCTGCACTGCGGGATCTAATAATTGAAGAATATCAAATGAATTAGAAGGCCGTATAAATGATCTATTATTTAAAATGTATGTGACACACTGTAACATTTTAATTGAAATGTAATGTTTTCTCATTGTTTTTCTTTTGCATAGTTGTTACCCTACGAGCTAAAAACAAAACAGAAACGAGGTCCTGAATGTTTAAGCTACAGTGTTGTACATTATTTAACTATGCTTTGTGCATAGAATAATATACCTCTGGACACCACAGTTCTATACAGCGTGTTTTCATTAGGCTAATTCCTTTCTTGCGAGTGATGTATTTTCAACAATATATGCATGATAACTGTATTGCCATGTCTCTAGGTAGTGAGAAACAAATAGGTGGATAAACTTTTAATCCCCGAGGGGAAATTAAGGTTCAAACAGTAGAAACAGTAAAAGTCCAACAGTGGCCTTACGAGAGGAAAGGCAGCAAGGCCAGGTGAGAAAAGAATTAAGTAACTTTTAATTAATATGGCGGCATTTTTCATCTTACTATATTATAATAATTTTATATATGTGCTTTATTACACAGTTTGCCTGCAGTCTGTGCTGTGTTTTCAATGCGGATAAGCCGGGTATTGGATACTGGTTGTAACTGGATACAGTGTATATATAGTGACGTGAGGTGTCAGTTTCGTCACAGTATATACCTAAAATATTACCCGTCTGCCTTTTTGTGCGTAATCCAGCTCCGCAAATTATTACAGTTACTTTGCTGTCCATGATTTCTGAAGCAATGACAATAAACCGCTACAAAAACAAAACCCGTACATGAGTACAAGCACTACATTTCCCAATTGTCTCCTCGGCACGTCCAGAGACGCAATCACAGCTACGGTCTTGAAGTTGCGCAAGCACAGGTCGGCCCCTCGATATGAATATGCTACGCATAGATCGGCATCGTTCAGATTGACGGGAGAGAGTCCATCCAGTTTCCTTTGAGAGGAACCCTCTGTACAGTCAGTGCGCAGGCGCGGTATGACGGCCTCGGGGTCACGTGTCCCATGATCGCCCTGCTGTTTTGTTCGGCAGCCCCAGGCGCTGGACGGACTCAGCTGGCAGGAGGGACGCGGTGTTCGGTGCTGTGCTTCGTCCAGTTGGGCTTAACGGCTAAGCTCGGTAAATCCTTCAGGAAGCAAAGATATGTGAAATAAGGGGAATAAAAGCAAACTAGCAGTCATTGTTAACAAACAGAAGACAGCAGGTGACAGATTGGCTTACCCCCTCTGTCCCCCTGAGCGTCACCGCACGGTCAGTCCGTTATCCTGATCAGCAGTCCTTATAAATGGGAATTTAAATGCCGTGTTGGTGTCTCTGAGTCTCCGGTGTTTAAAAATGGGCTCGATACTCAGCCGCAGAATCGCTGGGGTGGAAGATGTAGATATCCAGGCTAATTCAGCCTACAGATACCCGCCTAAGTCTGGTAAGTGAGGCATTATTGCCATTATGCTTAAATCTTGTTAAATATGCGAAAAATAAAAGCAGCTTATCGGCACCGACAATTACTGTTGCACTGGAGGGTTAATAGATGCGCAGGTCTGTCCTGACAAGTCGCCCTCTTAAAATATGCGGTAACCTGGGGTGAACCTCCGTGATTATTTGCACATCCTCACCCCCGTTGCATCACCTATTTATTGCTGTTTTTTACTCTCATGTTCTTATATTGCACTGTCTTGCCTTTCATTTTACTGCCGTTTATCCTGCATTGCGCTGCAGTTTGTCCTATTGTCCCCCATGCACCTGTCCCCTCCCTTGCATCTGTGCCGTAACAATTTCACTGTACTCTTCCACACACGTGACAATAAAAACCTGAAACTTAAACACCATTCACAGACCATTCAGTATCAGGCCGATTACCTCCATTTCTACTCTTATTTGGCTGATGGTTTTTTATTACGATTTCTCAGGATGCTGTTGTATATCAAACCACTCATTACGGTGGTAACATCTTAACTACCAAACCAATTAACCGTTGGCCTTTTTTATTGCGGTACCATATAAATATTGCTTCTGTTGATTGACAAGAATGCTGTGCACATGTTTTCCCGACGAAAACATTTCGCTACAGACTTTATTCATGTTTATTAACTGATGATTTAAATGTGCGATCTATTGGCATACATATACCTTTACACAGTGCAGGTTGGTACCTGAGATTAATACTGTCTCAGCGAATGCAATGGACTTGTTAGTCTCAGAATACATCCTATGCTTTACTCATCAAATGGGCGTTAACTCATTCTTCATCCACTCTTATGTGTCAAGGGCTGATGTGATGTATTTCCACTGTACCAATGTGTCATGGAATGGCTAGACAAAACAATACAGACAGGCTCACTCTGGTGGTTTTTAGTTAAAGGTCTGGCATTTTTAAAAGGTCTGCCTTGTTAATGCCTTTCACATTGTCACGCACAGCATGAACTTGCAAATTACATCCTCCTGAATTTCCTCAAAGAGACCACAGTTCACACGGCCACTAAATTGTTGCAATAAAGCAACATTTTGCAGATTCATGCAACATTGGACAGCAATTGTGTCTGTGAATGGTTTAACTGTATAAGAGCTTCAGGTTCAAGAATTACCCTTGGGGGGAATCGGACACTATTACAGCCACGATAGTTTAGTGTACCAGTGCTGGATCAGTCGATGGTGCTTGTGGAACGGGACTGCTCACCGGGATTCATGAGCTCATTTCTCGTTTCTTCTCAAGGAAACTATTTTGCCAGTCACTTCTTTATGGGGGGCGAGAAGTTTGACACGCCCCACCCAGAAGGATATCTCTTCGGGGAGAACATGGACCTTAACTTCCTGGGAAACAGGCCAGTGCAGGTATATTTAAAGCACCCACGCTTGCATGCGGTCACTGGACTCACTGCCATGCAGTGAGCTGTCATCCGGCTGCTCTCACCTGCCTTAAGTCACCGTGTATTTGTGTATTTAATGACTGAGGTAATGTTGCTCCCTAAGCTGGACAAGTGATCATCACCGTTGATGTGTGAATCCTTTGACTAAAAAGAGCATGATGATTGGACTTCTGGGTCTGCTAAGTGGTTGGCTCCTCCCACCTTGTCCGGGTTAGATGTTCTCCACAAATCGCATGCTCCTCCCACGTGATGCAGTGGCCAAGCAGCCGCGTGATTGGACAGCAGCCCGTCTCATGTTAGAGGTTGTGTTTCTTAATCAGCTAGTGAGTCGGTTAGCTGTGCTCTGTTCAGCTGCAGTGCGTCAGATGAACTCGAGTGTGCATTTGCAGGGGGGACACTGTGTATTGCTCTCTGTGACACCCCCCCCCCCCCCCCCCCCCCCCCCCCCCCCCCATCTGTGTGCTCAGTTTCCATACGTGACCCCTGCCCCCCACGAACCTGTGAAGACCCTGAGGAGTCTGGTGAACATCCGGAAGGACTCCCTGCGCCTGGTCAGGTGGGGGTCGCTTCTGCGTGGCTCACAGTCATGCTGCTGGGCCCATGCCCTTGACCACAGAAATGGGAACTGAGAGAGGGAGGGAGAGAGTGAGCGAGGGAAGGAAGTATTTCTGCTTCCTGTTTGACTTCTTGTTCAGTGTTGCAGCAACGAAAATCCCTCCAGCTTGGCAGCTGTTAGCAGTAACCTGTAGGTGGCGTGCCAGTTAAGAGCACCAGATTAGAGATTGACTGACAGTGGCTTGGCTCTGGCCCCATAGGTACAAAGAGGATGCAGAGGGCCCCACTGAGGACGGCGCTCAGCCCCGGGTGCAGTACTGCGTGGAGTTCACCTTCGACGCTGATGCCCGTGTGGCCATCACCATTTACTGCCAGGCGCACGAGGAGTTCTCCAACGGCACGGCCATGTGAGACCCCCGCGGGGAGATGGGGTGGGGGTGTGGCTGGGGGGGCGGGGTGTGGTTGGGGGTGGAGCCTGTGGAATTTTTGCGAATGCAGTATCGGCCATTCCCTGGAGCAGTTGGGGTTGAGGGCCATGCTCAGGAACCGACCCTGGGATTTGAAGCATCGACTTTCTGATTATGGACACAGCGTCCTAACCCGCCATGTTCCGTGTTCCGCTCAGCCTCAGACTGTTAGACAGAGAACAACAAGTTACCGACGCTAAAGGCTCCAGAGTGACTGTCTGTGATATGCGCTGTGTTTTAAAATTAGCCTGGATTTGTCACCGGGCTCCGTCATGACGACATCTTTTGAGGCACCACATCCCAGAATCGTGTTCTGTTCAGGAAACGTAGCTGCCGCCTTGGTAACAGTCTCCATGGATACTGTGGCAGTAGGGGATGTATTGTGTGGTAGATGCAGGGCTCTCGATAAGGAGACGTGCTAAGTAGCAGCAGTTTCTGTTTTTTGGCGGTAAAGTGAGAAGCTTTTGCTTGTTAGCTAATTGTGTAAAGGCTAGGCAGCGTTCGTAGCGGCCTCGGGGCCGTGGGGTCTGCGGCTACGCCTCCTCAAACCCTCCTTAGCCTCTTAAGCGGGGTGGTAGCTCTGCCAGACCAGCAGGGAGGTGACGGATGGGTGGATGGATGGTTGGAGCAGAGCTTCAGGCTAAAGGTGTTTTCAGCAGGATGGCAAGCTGCTCGTGTCGAGTACTCTGGCTCTCTTCCTAAATCCCGTAAATCCGGTTGAGCGGATTGATCTTCCCATTGCCCGTGACCATGTTCAGGTGTGTCGTCCTCCCCCCTTAGCGGCGGCCTCGTGTCCCCCGGTGCACCAACGGTGTCTCCATGTTTTTTCCCCCACCAGTTACACCCCGAGGTGTCCCACCATGCTCTCGGAGACGGTTCACTACAAGCGGGGCGTCAGCCAGCAGTTCTCCCTGCCGTCCTTCAAGATCGACTTCTCGGAGTGGAGCGAAGATGAGGTGGGTGGTCCTCGGGGGCCTGTCAGTCAAATGTGAAGGAGCCAATCCTCTGCCCCGTCTCCATGGATTCAAAGTGCCATTGGCTGTCAGTGCCATCCCATCCCGCCCCATGGAAGAGAAGGTGCTAAACGCCTAAACAGTAGAATAAAGCAGTTGTGTGTTTTGGTGGTGCCGTGCTGATGATGCCAGTGTGTCATTGTGCGTTGTGTGGTGGCCTTGGGTCCCCCTGCAGGCTGGGGACAGTGTCACTATGTGACAGGGACGGCCCAGCCCACTTTTATAATCACTCTTTGTCAGATGTTTTCCAAGAGCTCTACTTTCCAGAGAGACTCAACATAAAAACAAGCTCTGTTTTCTTTTTTTTGAAGATACTTAACTCCCCCGATAACATGGCCTACGAACGGTGCCATTTCACCGGAGAAGCCTCCTCAGAGGTAGCTGAGAGATTGCAGTTAGTCATACAGGAAGTGGGTGATGAGGAGACAATAGGCAGGCAGGTGGATCAGGCAGGGTTCTCATCCGAGCGATGAGTCAGACCATCTGCATGCAGGACACCAAAGACCTTCCACATTCCTAGCCTTGGGAAGTAGGAAGAGCCTGGCAGATGTCGTCCGCGGGTGCAAATTCAAGTTACCCTCATTCCTCAGAGTGGCTGCTTGTTTGATGGAGGGGCAGCGTATGGGCAGGGATCTGGGCCAGAAGACCCTGAGCACAGATCTGATGTCCTTCAACACTGTGGTCTGAGCTGCTGTTGTTGCTGAATTTGAGGCCGTACGCTCATCAAGGTCCTTCTCGTCTCCAGCTGAACTTCGACCTTGACAGGGGTGTCTTTCCCATGGTGATCCACGCCGTCGTGGACGAAGGAGACGGTAGGTTTTCTAGAATGTCCTCGCTGATCGCTGGGTGGGCGTCATGGTTACTTCTGCCATCTAAATGAGCCATTTAATTTTGTAGTGAGACACCCCCCCCCCCAAACTCGTTAACCGTGTCCCGTTTTAATGAACCTCTCCCCCCTTACAGATGGCCTGGGGCATTCGCATGTTCTGCTGGCAGCTTTCGAGAGAGTAAGTCCTCCTTTGGGCGCTCACACCCCGCGCCGTTCAGCCGGCCGCGACGCCCTTTTCGCCATTTCTCTAAATCGCACCTCTGAGCAGGATAATTGGCTGTGGGAACGGGCTGTGGATCTGAACCTGTTCCTCCGCTCTCTTGGCAGCATGTCGACGGAAGTTTCTCAGTGAAGCCTTTGAAGCAGAAGCAAATTGTGAGTAATCCTGCCATGTGCCCTGTCCGCTGTTCTGCATACTGCCACTAGGGGGCCTTTCCTTCCCCGCCCCATTCGCCTGTCTGCGGCCTCCTGTTCCCACCTGTTCCCTCTAATCATCGTGTGCATGTGTACAGGGAAGGGGTGATTTTTCCATTAGGCCTTTTGTTCCCCGGGCCATAAACGATGTGGGCGGAGCCTTGGTTAAACATCAGTAGGGCTCTGCATTGGCTTATGGCTCCTGGTGAAAATGGATGACGAACATTAGATGGAGTGAGAGGTGTTTACAGGAGGCTGCCGTCGAGTGCAAACCCCAGCGTCAGCCTCTCAGCGTGTCGTAAGGGCTTTTTAACCCCCTGCGCCGCTGTTTCAGGTGGACCGGGTCAGCTACCTGCTACAGGAGATCTACGGGATTGAGAACAAGAACAACCAGGAAACGAAGGTGGGCGGAGTCACTGTGGCGCAGTGTAATAATACAGTGAAACGATACAGGCTGCTGAAATATACCCCTCCCGTGTGTGTGCGTGTGTGTGTGCGCTTGTGTGTGTGTGTGTGCGCTTGTGTGCGTGTGTGTGTGTGTGTGTGTGTGTGTGCGCCTGTGTGTGTGTGTGCGCCTGTGTGTGTGTGTGTGTCTCTCTGTACTTGCCTGTCTGTGTGTGTCTATGTGTGCATGCATGCATGTGTCTGTCTGTATGTGTGTCCATCTGTCTGTGTGCCTGTATGTATGTCTCTGTGTGTATGTGTGTCCGTCTGTCTGTGTGCCTGTATGTATGTCTCTGTGTGTATGTGTGTCCGTCTGTCTGTCCGTGTCTATGCTTGTGTCTGATTGTGCATGTGTCTGTGTCTCTGTCTATCTCTGTGTCTGTCTGTCTCTCTGCGCGTGACTGGCAGCCATCGGACGACGAGAACAGTGACAACAGTAACGAGTGTGTGGTGTGCCTGTCGGACCTGCGCGACACCCTCATCCTGCCCTGCAGACACCTCTGCCTCTGCAACTCCTGCGCAGACACGCTGCGTTACCAGGCCAACAACTGCCCCATCTGCCGGCTGCGTGAGTCACGGCTGCGCCGCAGTCGCCGAGCCCTGCGTCCAGCTGCTGATGATTAGGAGGATTAGTGGGGAGACGGGGACCCCTGCTGGTGGAGAGGCATCTTTAAAAAAGCACCCTGAATGGCTAGGAGGCCCACTGAATTCTGGGAAATGTTTAACGTGGCTTGATGTTTCAAAGGCTGCTTGGAGCTGTGCATTTAATAGATTAATAGTGATTGACAGGGTCCTGGTCAGAAGTCAGCTGCTGTTCTCGGCCTCCCTAGCATTCCGGGCCCTGCTGCAGATCCGCGCCGTGAAGAAGAAGCCGGGGAGCCTCTCGCCCGTGTCCTTCAGCCCCGTGCTGGCGCAGTCCATGGAGCATGACGACCACTCGGTGGGCGCTGCGGGAGGGAGGCTGCCGCCGTCACGTGACCGGGGAGAGCCCTGTGAGATCTCCTCTCCATCTCTCCCACAGAGCGCGGAGAGCGTGCCCCCGGGCTTTGAACCCATCTCCCTACTGGAGGCGCTCAATGGGCTGCGAGCCGTGTCCCCCGCCGTGCCGTCGGCCCCCCTGTATGATGAGTTGGGCTTCTCTGGCGGGCTGGGGGTGGAGCGCTCGCTTAGCTCCCCGGAGCACATCGGCGACAGTGGCGGCCAGCCCAAGAACAAGGCCAGCAAGTCTCCCGACAGGTGGGAGGCCTTAGCGTTTGCCCTGTCTGCTTCCTGTTTCCCACAGATTTTTGTTTTACAGGGTGGTTTGGGGAAGCTCATTAATATTCATGAGAGAGGCACTACCTGATTGGCTAGTGAATTCCTTAGACAGGATGCCTAAGAAACCATGCTAATCGCTAACTATCAGAACCCATAAGTCAGAATACTATTAGCCTATGACAAGGAAAATGGAATCTACTGCAACTGCGTTCAAATACTTAAAATTGCTTCGCTGATGAATATTAATGAGTTTTCCCTGTAAAATGTTTGCCCTGTCCACTTCCTGTGTGGCTGCACCCTAAATGCTTATGGGGGGGGCAGCTCTGAGCGTGTCACGCCTCTTCACAACCCCCAGTGGCACGCTGAGGTCACCATCATCCCCGATCTGCGAGGAGGATGAGGAGAAGCTGGCAGAGCAGGTGGAAGGCCAGCCTGACACAGTGCGCCCTGGCAGCCCGGCCCCCCCGGAGGTGAGCCCCCCCCCCCACCGCTATGCTCTGTGTTTCATTCCTTCTTTAACAGTCTTTGTTTCTCTCGCGTCCAGGTGGCAGCGGCTGAGGAGCCCGTGGATCCTGTCACCCTGGATGAAGGTGAGGGGCATCATCATCGCCAGGTCAAAGGTCACATTGTCATTACCCCCCCCACCCCGCTCAGAGCCTTCTTAATCTCCCTCAAGCTGTTATAACCACTTTCTCCCCCCCCCCAGACGAATGCCCCCGCTCTGCGGGTGAGATCTTCCAGGACTGCGTCAGCGAGCGCAGTAGCCTGACTAAGCCCGAAAGCGCCCCACAGGGGGAGCCGTCCCCCCCAGGTGAGCCCCCCCGCCCCCGTTCCCGCCTTTTGTATGCCTGCTTTTTCATGTCTGTGATCTCCAGTGGGATATCACCATAAGTCAGAGCCTTCTGGGCCACTCTCTCTGCGCACCCCCCCCCATTCCTAATGTAACCCCTCCCACAGTGTCTAACACTTTGCTCGCCCCTCCCTGCTGTCTGCCCCCCCCCCCCCCCCATCTGCAGCCCCCCCCCCCCCCCCCCCCCCCCCCCCCCCCCCCCCCCGCAGGGTCATCAGAGTCCATGGACAGTCTGAAGAGCCACAGCACCAGCAGCTCCAGCCAGCCCCTCCTCTGCCCCCCCGGCAGCCTGCGTGTGGAGGACGAGCACCTGGGCCCTTAGTGTGTCCATGCGCACGCACACGCGCTCACACGCAGACTGCCGCCCCCCCCCTGCTGCTTGGCCTTCAATTACAGTGAGATGTGGCGTCCCTGACAGCCCCGCACACTGCTGTGGTGTTAAAGGGCCTGCCCCCCCACCCACACCCCAAGCCCCACACTATGGTACGGAAAGGCCCTCTGGCCCAGTGTTCCCAGTTTGGCTTGAATGGTGACCTGTAGCTCAGTGTGTCAGCACAAGAAACCACGGGTCTGCACCCTGAAAGCACTGGCCTCTTTAACATTGTTCCTACTACTACCGCTACTACAACTATTATTATTATTATTATTATTATTATTATTATTATTATTATTATTATTGTTGTTGTTGTTGTTGTTGTTGTCGTCATTGTTAGTGTCATTATGCCACCCTATTTTCTCCCAGTAAGGGTCACACTCATTAATTATAAATGTATTGAAATTAACTGGAATAGGAACTAATGAACTCCCGATGTTATAGTCTTGCCAGTTATCTGTGTTTGACACTAAACACATTTCTAATTTTATTTAGTTGCAACATTTCTAACTCGTTCTAGGAGCATATATGGCTTGAAGGAATCAACGTTAATATTGCCTGAGAAATGAGCCACAGCCACTTTTCGCTGTTTCTTGAGGCTGAAGGTGGATATTTTTTGTAAAGTTTCCTTTAAGGAGACGGCGCTGGCGGAGCGCAGTGATTGAGGACGCTCTCTGTGGCCTTAATGTCATGTAATAGGTGTCAGAGGCGAAATGTGCGAACGCTACGGACCTCATGCATGAACGTCTGATCTCACACTTACCCGTTAGATTCCAGATTTCTGTGTCGGGAGGCTGTTCTGCTTGTTAATATGGCACAGATTTAGTGGCGTTTCTTTGTAATCGTGTTCGGAGCAGAGCCGCGTTAACGCGATGCAGTCGGTTCTCCTTAGAGAAGCCCGGATCCAAAGAGCGCAGCTGGGCTCTGCTTGTTTCGGGGACCTTTGTGCTGCATGCTCCTGCTCCTCCTTTCACTCCTGTTCCAGGCACCTTTAAGCTATACGATCCTGCTCCCCTTTTTTGGTGCTCTCGTTTTTACTGCAATCGGAGCGCAATTCACGTAATTAAAGCGACTGGAGCCCTCTGCCTTTAGATGTTACGCGTGCGTCATTGTATAACGCCAGAAATACAGTATCTAGTTCAGGTGTTTGGATAAGTGACTTAAAACATTTCCGTTTAATGACGCATTAATATTACCTTATCTAGTTGAGGTATCTGCTGTTTAATGCATTAAAAATATGAAGTCTGGGTGCCGCCGCTCCTCCGCAGGTTCGGCGGCGTTTGCCTTTGCTTTAGTCTGGTTAACTCGCTCGTGTCTGCTATAAGCGACGTGTCGGGATGCTTTTGGGCAACCTAAGCAGCTGGGTCCCCAGGGGCCTCCACTGTTAAATTTAAAACCTCCTCTTCCGCTTCTCCATTGATCTGTGCCTTGTGTTTCTTCAGCGTTAGTTACTGACCTGGTATCCAGGAGAGTGCCCTGCTCTTTACTCATAATTTCAATCGCAAATTAAAATATTTAATTTGCAGCACTACATAAATAATGGAAAACTGGACTGGTGACCAGTAAATGCTCATGTCTGTGCCATCATTGCTCTGAACACTAAATACGCACTTTGCTGTTATAACTTATGTGCGATGCAATGTTTGCAGAATGTGTAGACTATAAGGAAACTACGGTCTAGGTCATTATGCAGCGTTAGGTGAAATTTCCGGAGATTATTGCATAAAATGCCTAATTTTACTGGAGTACTTGTACATTCAGTTGTGTATATTGTAAAGTAACAAACGCATCTTCGAGAGTAGTTAAATGCAATTGCTGCACAGACTTGTATAAAGTTTGTCTTGCTGAATAGGTAGAACTTTGTCTCGTAATTACAACCGCTCAAATAACTAACTGAATTGATAATGGTCTATTAGTTGTAATATTTGACACATGCAGGCGTTTCGTATATGATCATGGCCACTTCGTTGTGTAAATGTAAAGATTACGGTGAATATTCCAGTTTTAGACGATTAACTGTGTTTTTATTTCGATATGACTTTTAAATCACATCTTGTTGGTTATTCGCTTTCAAAGGTAAAAGGCAATGTCTTTGAATATGTTCTTGGTGCGAATTAGATGGAAATAATCTCTACATGAATGATCCACACTGTAAAATGTGAAGTCTGCGTAATGAAAATGTGCGGATTCAGTGTCCTGAGCCCTTAATTTATCTTGTCCTCGTCCATTTCCAAACAGGCTAACAATAAAGGAATATACGTATTATGCAATGGTATGACTGGTTATTTTGCTATCGGTGGCCTATATAAAATGTTAATCTTTTCTTGACTTAAGGTTTTGTCACATCGTGTGTTAGGTTTGGGTCCTTCTGGAATCTTCTGCTAAACCAAACCGGTTTGGGTGGTCGGGAGGGGGCAGTCTTTACCTGCCTGATACAGATGGAGCATGGCATGGGGGTCCCAACTTGCGGTGGGCGCCGGCATGTAACGCTGAACAAGTCACATCCAATTTGGCCTGTCAAATAACGCAATCGACGTATTCCGTATCGTGCGATCAGTAAGCAAGATTAAATTAATCCTCTTTTGTTAAGGTAATATTTAGACCAATGCGTACCCACTCAACCCGCAGGTTAATCTGCAGTATAGTAGGGAAAGTAGGATAGTAGTAGGGACGTTAGAAGCACATCTGTGGCGATATTTTTCGCTTTTGTATTTACACCGAATATGTATTTCTTTCCCAGTAGTTAAAAATAACCGTTATAGATATTGCGATTCTTAAAGCAACCCTACCAAAATGTCTTCCCGGCGCTTCATGTTACAGGAAAAATACTTCTAACGTTCAAGGTGCGACTAGTCCGTGTAGTTCGGGGGATTAGTGATATCTTTCATGCACTTGTGTTTCTGTTAAACTGTACAATAGCTGTGTTTGGTGGTGGGAAAGCGGGGCGTGTGGCGCGGTTTTTTGCCGCCTGCTGTTCCGCCGGTGGGGGCGGCTTTGTGCACCCATTCCCGCCCTCAATCTGTGTTTATACAGGGGGACATTCATTAACATCGCCTATACATCACTGCCGAAGCCGCAACCATAAAACAGGCCTCGTACCCATTCGCTAATATGTTCTAACCAGTAAAACACGCACAAAATATGTACAAATGCATTTGTTTTGATTTGTAAACCCGACACCGAAAATGGACTGATGGACGGATGAACACCTACTTACACTACAGTGCTAAATATCTTATTTAGATTGTTTTAACTGTTTGTAATATTTCATAGTTATTTTATGTTTTTACTTTTTGGGTTATTCAATGTTTTAATATCCTATAAGCCTATTCTAGCGATAAATACAGACTTAGTCGTGGCGTGGAGTTAAAAGTCAACATAACTGCGTATTACATGCACCTACAGACGAACACGAACATTTTTATCTGTGTATGATGAGTTCTGTATGTATGGAATTATACGATATGCATATTATATATCCCATAAGTCTATCTTCCAGTATTACTCTTTATTAATAAAAATTCTGTATGCGTTACACCATCGAGGAAATAGCTGCAGAAAAAAACGTTTGATTTAACTGATTGTTACTTTATTATGGCCGCATACAGACCAGATGAGAATTGTGTTACACAGCCTTATGTTACAGATGTGTGGAAGTCCATTTTATCAGCACGGTAGGTTGGCGTGATGTGCGCTGGTTTTCCCGGGACAGTGCGGTCCGGCAGAGCAGATCCCAGCCGCTTGTAACCGGAGACGCGGAAGGTGAAACCCGGAGCCGATCGGCAGCCAATCAGCGGCCCGCGATCCGTTTAAAGGGCCCATAAAGAGAGGCAATCGGACGGATTCTTCACATCTGAGCCCTGGAGGCGCAAGCAGGGAAACGCATCACTGATCTCTGACAAGCGCCCTATTTGTCATCTGAACGTATTTTTCTGACTGTTTTTGGGGACCAACTGTTTAGAGACAACATTTTAAACTGCCGGTAAGGAACCAGCCCGCACCTCATCACCGCAACTCTTGAGTCAGGTAAGTTAAATTAGATAAAATGCAACAGGTTGGAAAACGCTTAGACACTATCGATGTTACAAGGCAGGTATTTGCTGGAGGAAGCTAAATCTATTTCGAATAATACTTCAAACTGTGGACAGTTCATCACCAAATCGGATTGGATTCTTTTAGGGAAAATAGGCCTATTTACTCTGCGGAAAGTGTAGCTCTGAGATGGGGGGTGTTTTTAATGAGCGCCCTGTCTCCGTTTGAGGTTGGTATGAAACCTTTCGCCTGATTCTCATGGCAGGTGTCTGTGGATCAACAAGAGGATCTCGTGCCCACATTTCGGGATTTCTGGGAATCTTCTCGGAGCTGCTCTGCCATGCCCGTTCTCACCAGTGCGCAGCTCGCCTCCCAGTTTCAGGGGCGCTGGACAGCTCTCCAGCCCGAGGGCGACTCGGATTCGGCTGGCTCTCTCCCGCTGGACGACAGCCTGACGAGTCTCCAGTGGCTGCAGGATTTTTCCATCCTGAGCGCCACGCTGGAAAGGCTGCCCCCGCACCAGGCGCCCCCCTGCCACAGAACGGACGCCCCTGCCAGTCCAGCAGCGGGTGACACGGCGGCCACGGGCACGCCCCGCGCCCTTGGCAGCCCCATCAGCGCCAGCGCCTCCGCGGACGGCTGGCAGTGCCCTCAGGCGCCGGCGGAGGTGGACTACAGGACGGACCCGCGAGTGAAGCCCCCCTACTCGTACGCCACGCTCATCTGCATGGCCATGCAGGCCAGCAAGAAGAGCAAGATCACGCTGTCAGCCATCTACAGCTGGATCACGGACAACTTCTGCTACTACAGATACGCTGAGCCCAGCTGGCAGGTGAGGCCTTCGTGGGAGAGGGATGTCATGGGGGGGTCCTAATTAAACATGTATGAGCCTGCCCTGAAGTTCAACTTCCACCAGGTATAGGCGGCTCCACCCGGGGATTATCGTTCAGTCGGGAGAAACGAGGTCACAAACCGTGCAGTTCATTACCGCGAGCTGTCCTGCTCGATCGATAGGCCTTGATTACCTACAAGCTTCTTCAGAGACGACCGCTCCCTCAAATTGCCTGTCTGCAGGCACTAAGCCCGAGGAATTCTGGTTAAAGATGCATGAGGTGATCCTGGCCGGGGCATGCGAGCGTACGACAGGTGGACGTCGGGTTTCGGCCCCGGCAGGTGTCTGCGGGCCGGTGCTGCGCGTCCTTAAAGGAACAGTGCCTCTGATTTGCGGCTCCTGCGCTCTTTCAAAAGTAGTATTATATGGATGATGCGAAGGAGACGAGCATGACTATGAGCCACATTTCAATCACCGTGGACTGTGAAACAAAGATCCCACAAGCACCTGTCAGGCTTGAACAGCACGTGTAAGTGGCGTGTCGAGTCTGCGGTTTTCTCTGTGCAAATGCCTCCTTCCGACGTGTTTCGTTACATCGCCTGACCGTCAGCCAGGAACGCGAGATCGTCCTTGACCCAACACACGTCTTCATCTTTTGTCGCGCCGTCTTAATTACGCTGTCGTCTTGCAAGTGATTGAAGAGGAGGGGCGAGAACGGGGACTGGACGTGTTCGTGATTAGCTTTCGGGAGGGAGGAGAATCGGCTTGTTTTCTTTTGGACGGGTACTCGCTGTTTACGGATCTGACTGTTTTATGCGCTCAGATTAATGAATCTTCAGTGCTTGCGGTCAGTCTGTGGTATCGATCGTCACCAGTTGGTCGATATAATACAAACACCATTTTCGATAAAACCGAATATAAGATGAAGATAGAAGACTGTGACATTTAGACCAATGTAATTGTATAATTGCTGTTCCCCGCGACCCTGACTGTGGTAAGTGGTTAGTAGATGAGTGGGTGGCTGGATAGATGGATAATCCATGTTTGCTGAGCCACTTGCCAGGTAATTTGTCAAAAGCAGTATTTTAAGGGTAGTTTCCTAAAGGAACATGCTGGAGTTTATGCTGCTGTTTGACAAACGCAGTACTGGACATGAGGCGGATCTTTGAGGGGCGTTTTCCTCTGAGCACAGGACAGCCTCTTCAGGGCTCTCTCTGGCTGTTACCCAAATGGAAGCTTTGTTAGTTCAGTTGATGCTAATGGTGTGCCCCCCCACCCCCCCACAGAACTCCATCCGCCATAACCTCTCCCTGAACAAGTGCTTTGTGAAGGTTCCCCGGCAGAAGGGAGAGCCGGGGAAGGGTGGATTCTGGCAGATGGACCCCCAGCACGCTGACATGTTTGTCAACGGCGTCTTCAAGCGCCGCAGGCCGGCCTCCAGCCACATGGGGGCGCAGCGGCAGGGCAGGGAGGCTCCCCCTGTTGGCCGCCAGCTGGCTGTGGGGGTTCCAGTACTCGGCAGTAAACGCAAACACCCAGCACCTGGCAAGGCTGGGAAATGTGGACGGAGCTCTGGACCCCCCCAGCCAGCGTCAGAGGCGAAGGAGATGGGGGCCCTCAAGGGGGATTTCAACTGGGCCCCCTCCTTCGATGACGTCATGGGCGGAATGGGGAGTACCTTCGAGGACCTGGACCTCAACCTGGCCCTGAACTCCATGGGCTGCGAACTGGACACCTCTCTACAGGATCAACATCATGGCTCCGGGGGGCGCTGGTGCCCCACCGGGTCTGAACACGCCTGCGAGTACGTGGAAATAAGCGGTGTGCCGGGCGGTGCCGCCGACGACCCCCAGACCCAACTGGAGGAGCTGACTCTCTTTCTGGAGCTGCCACACCCATGGGAGGAGCTTAAGGAGGAGGCCACGCCCCCTGCGCTGGACCACGGCTTATGCGAGGGCTTCTTTGCTGACACACAGCCCTGGGGCAGGGTGGAGTCGTACCTGTGACACCAGCCTACCTTGCCGTGCCGCTGCAGACACTCAGAAGAGCTACAGACTCCTGTTTGCTACATTAGCATTATATCTCCGTACATAACGAACATCTCGGTTTACCTTTTTACATATGTCTGATGTATTAACGCCGAGGCTTTTATACATGTCCAGTTTTATTTCTCTTTTTTGCCCAAAAAAGAATAACATGACATATAATTTATAGTGCAAACAACTAATGAATTATTGAAAATATTTTGTTGGGGGGAAAAAATGATATGGAATATTTAGGTATTTTTAGGCACTGGTTTAAGACAATTATGGAGGTAACTAAATAAGGGAAAATGTCCTCCAAACGCAAAGGAAAAAACAATAATAATAATAATAATAATAATAATAATAATAAAGTCTTAAAGGAAAAAAATGTCACACCTGGAAGTAGGCAATGTATAGAGCTTCTCAGGGGTGTGGCCAGAGATTTTGGGCCCCAACCCAGATCTATTGAATTTTGTTCCAGGACCCCCCCCCCCCCAACACCCCTGCTCCTGTATTCAGGACCAATATCACACAGTTCTACCTGTACTTAAGAGTTTTAAAGATCCTGCTTTTGACAATTTTGGTGGATTTCCATTTTTTAAAAGATTTTTAAAAATCAGTATTCTTTTTTTATACGTGTGCATTTTCTTTGGTTTTCTATGTGTTCAGATACACTGAAGTTATTTTCGTGACTCTCGATTTTACATTATTTTGTTTTCACGTAGTGATGAATAATTCAAATAAATATGCTGGCCATTTGTAGTGCAAGGAAGACCAGTATGATTATTAAAACTATATTTTAATCTGTAATTATAAATATTCATCGATGTTTGTCTGCTTTTTTAATTGCAAACAAATCACGTGTCTCTGAGTTCCCAAACCATGGCTCGTCATATGCAGACCCAATGGTGCTAGATTTTAAAAGGGGCTTTTTCTCCCCGTTTTTCTCTGAGAAGCCCTGAAATGACTTTAAAAAAAAAACACAGTGGAATGTTTAATGGTGTTCAGCTGATAAGGACAGGATCCCTACAGGTGCTGTTTTACATTGAGTCACATTATATTACATTTTTGCATCCCCTCAGGCTGTACAAAGGGCAGCTATGTAATAAATACACCTTTAAAGCCTCCTTCCCTGTGCTTCAGTTCATGTGAGGGAGATGAAGGCACATTTCATCTTACTACCCATAAAAGACACAGGGGTCACCAGAGGGGGTGACCCCCAAAGGGGCACCCTCATAACATATTAATGGGCGAATGAAGAAATAAATCTGAGACGTTTTATCTTTAAGAGGAAACGAAGCTCCCAGTTATGGGTGTTCAAACAGCTGCGTGCCTCTGTGCCTGCATTACTGTGATGGACAGCCAGTGTTTAGGATGGATCCCCCTGAAAGTGGCAGCAGGGACCTCAGACGGGGACTCTGGAGGACACATCCATCTGCTCAGCACCTTCTGAAGTAGCAGGTACCTGGAATTAGTGAGGAAAAAGCCAGAAGTAGCTGGAGGAGCCATGTGCTGGCTGGTATGTCATATGTCAGTGTATGACAGTGATCGTCTCCTGTGAGTTGTCTGAGAAGGACCTGTGAGCAAGAGGTGGTGTTATCACTGACGTGTGACCGTAGCTGCCTCCCAGGCAGGCTGGGTGGGGGGTGGGGGATGGCTTCCATGCGGGTAGCAGACAGACAAACAAACAGACAGATGGATAGTGCCTACAGGTACCTGTCTGGAAGAAAATGTTTGAGACACACACCTGTCTGTCTGTCACCTCTCTCTCTCCCGGAGCCAAATCTGTCTCCTTCCTTCTTTCAGTGACTCATTCTTGCGACTCTCTCTGAAAAAATCTCGGCTTCCTGTCTTTCAAATGTAAAAGTGAAAATAATGCGATGCAAATGTCCCCCTTCGGTCAGTCATGCTTCAGTAGGTGCTCTTCTCATGGTCTTAGTCATGTATGGCTTGTTCTGGGAATGTCATTTATTAAGCGCCTGTCCCTTTAAGACATTAAGCAAACAAATGATTCTTAGGTGCAGGGTTCTCTGCAGTCATAACCTTGCCTGTCTATGCATACCTTTACCCTGTGTATTCGGGGTGCCGGGGAGTGTTCCGTGGGGGGGGACCGACTGCTGGACCTGTCACTAAACGTGGGGGTGAGAGAGAGGCTAGGTAGGGCTCACGTACGGGGCGGGGCGGGGGGGGGGGGGGGGCACTGAGATGGCTGTCTACATTTCAGACATTGAAATGTAACCTTGGGTTGACCTTGGGCAGCCAGATATGTCGCGTAAAATAAAAAGGCTTCCATTTACAGACAGTATAATGTGTGTGAGGTGGGGGTCACAGAGACAGGCAGTGAGAGGAGGGTGAAAGTATATTAGTGGCTACTGATTCCCAAAGGTGGTTTTTGCAGGGCGGGTGTGTCTTCTGTGAGGAGGGCAGTCATTCTGATCAGCCTTCGGGGAGGGGTGGGGAGCGGGGCGGGGCAAGAAATTATCCTGTAAGATCTGCTGCATTGGCGTGGGGCAGTTTGAGCCATGATGATAACACTATCACACCAGCCCGCCATCTGCACAGGCCCGGTTGGCACAGGAATGCCCCCCCCCCCAAAAAAAAAGGTGGCAGCGAGGACACACTGACCCTGTATCTGTTTAGGGACGTCTGCAGCCAGCGATTACACAGACTAGGAGCACACACCAGCCAATAGCAGCATGCGTTACAAAGCCGTCAACGAGGAAGAGGATGTTTATAAATGACAGAGGGAGAAGCACGTGACAATCAGGGTCGATACTGAAGCATGTGGGTTAATAATAATGCTAAAACTATCGGGAAATATTTCAATAAACTGTAATAAATAAGATACAAACAAGGGAAGGGCTACAGAATTACAAAGTTGCTTGTCCTGTGTTGGGTGACGGGGGTCTGGAGTCTGTCCTAGAAGCTAGTCACAAGGATGGGAATAAGCCAGTATTGGGAATTCACACCTATGGGCTACTTGGCAACTCCAGTTCACTTAATTGTGTATTTAGATTGTGTGGGGAAACTGGAGAAAATCCCTCAATGACAGGGAAGAGCGTGCAAACTCCTCCCCCCCACAGGGAGCCATGGCAGAGACTCGAATGCTGGCCCCAGAGGTGTGAGACCGCTGTGCAAATCACTGCACCACCACATCACCTTTTCTAAATGGATAAAAAAAATACAGTTAAGAAAAACTATAAATATTGTGCCCATTAATAAAATCTGCAACATGCTTTGTCCAATTTGAGGACATTAGTGCATACTGTGCACAATGTATTCATGAAGAATACTCTATTTATTAGACATTTCGCTGTACAACTTTCAGTCTATCCCTGGAGCTGAAATTAATATACATAAAACATAACAATAGTAATGTATCCTTGAAACAAAAAACTAATAAAACCACGCTGAAAACGAACTAAAACTAAACCATATTTCAAAAAATACAAAAATAACTAAAACCTAAATTTAAAATTCAAAACTATTACAGCACTGCTAGGAATATGATCATGGATAACATTAAAATTAGTGGGTTTCTGTCAGGATGTCCTCCCTGTTTGTTTGTTGCACTTCTGAAGAAGGCAGATGGTTGGCTGATTGGTTGCTGGTCACGTGACTAGTCACATGATACACGTGAAAGCCAAGTGGCACCTGACAGGTGGTGGGAGGTGCTAATGTAACTGTCAGCCTAGAGAGTCAGACCAGTAGCATGAAATTGCCCTTGTCGATGTTTACAAGCCGCCAGGAAGAGGAACCTGTGAAATACAGAGCAGCCCCCACTGGAGACCCTGATGGCTTTACGTGTTTGTTTTTTTAAAGCATAAAAAGTGATCAGGAATCCATTCATCACCTAAGTGTGGTTTCCACGTCTGCTTTGCTGTGATTCATGCTCACGGAGTTACCATCAATACTGTAATTCATATCACACACATGTACATGTATAAGGGTGGGCTAACATTAAAGGTCACAACACTTACACCGTACATGTATGTACAGATTGGTCACATGTCACTGCTGGGAATCCCCAGCAGAGTGGATAGATGCACAGGGGACTGGCGTGATTAACATGTTTACCATGTGCACGCTGTCAGCATGGTGTCCCCCCCCCCCCCTGTGTGAGGCTGCTAGCTCATGGTGGGACTCAGTGAAACACAAACAGCTTACAGCCAGACATATTTCTTACCTGCTTGGGGTGTGACTATCAGTGTCCTTCACTGCCTTCATTACTGCAATTTGCCTTGGTTTACCACGATTCACCACGATTTACCATGATTTACCATGATTTACCATGTAGCCTCCTCGTTTATTTTCTGCAGATTCTGCCACTGTCATCTGTTGTGAATGGGAAAGTCAGAGGAGGTCTTGTATGCTACAGGCTCCGTGTGCCCAGCCAGCATCAGGAGACCACACCTGGACCCCCTCAGGCATGAAAAGTGCTCCCATTGTGACAGACTCTCAGATTCCTTCCTCGTGTGTCTAATTGCAGCAGCCGTATCCCTCACCTGTGCAATGGGAAGTGTTAATTAGCACGACAGAGCAAAATAATGCCGGCACCATCAATGTCCCATCAGCTTCCTGTGGAATTATAATGGTCATGTGGTTCTGTGGGTTGTAAGCCCTTTCTGTGTGTGTGTGTGTGTGTGTGTGTGTGTGTGTGTGTGCGTGTGGTTCATATGTTCATGAAAGTCTGTATTTCTCCTTTCTGTAAATCAGTCTCCCTGATTGCACTGAAATCATTCATTACTCTGGGCCCTTAGTAAGGACACGCCCCTTCCTTGGCCACGCCCATGCTGCCTCTGCCTCTCCTTGGTCTCTCTGCCTCCCATATTTATGTCCATGAGGCAGGTATCTGTAGAGTCTTCAGATTTCCACCTTATTCCATCCAGGGTTAGTTTGGCCCCTGTTTGACACGCAGTGACTCTGCGTGACTCTCTGTTGCACTGTCCTCGTGATGTAAACACACCCACGCCACACTGGGGGCACTGCTATCGTACGGTCACAGTGACTGCTCTGAGAGTCAGCCTGCAATGGGGGAGGCAGTGTGACAGAATGTGCAGGACACAGCCAGCCCCATTCGGGACCACCCCTTTCCCATAATCCTCCTGGGCTTTGAGCCAAACTCTCACATCATTCTCCCCTGCAAGACTTGCTTTTTCTGGGGCTTTTAAAGTTCTGGCAGCCATCTGCGCTGAGCAGGAGGGGCTGCCATGTGTCTCTCTGTGTGTCTATGTCTGTCTGTCTCTGTGTGTCTCTGTCTGTCTGTCTCTGTCTGTCTCTGTGTGTCTGTCTCTGTGTGTCTCCGTCTGTCTGTCTCTGTGTGTCTCTGTCTCTGTCTGTCTGTCTCTGTGTGTCTCTGTCTGTCTGTCTCTGTCTGTCTGTCTCTGTGTGTCTCTGTCTGTCTGTCTCTGTGTGCTTCTCCCTATGTCTCTGCATGTCTCCATATGTCTCACTGTGTTTGTTTGTGTCTCCTTGTGTCTCTGTGTCTCCCTTTGTCTCCCTCTAACTGTGTGTCTCCTGTGTCCCTGCGCACTTTAGCCAGCTGGCTGGCTGTGAGCAGCTGTCATAACTGCTAGCTTAATCCCTACAGCGTTAACAACAGCTTCTTTTGGGGCCTTTGCTAGTCGACTATTAAAGGCCGTCGGATCCTCTCAGGTGACCAGAGACATTGACCAGGTGGCTCCATCCAGACGAGGCTCTGAAGCTCTCTGTCCCTGTAGGGGAGCCTCAGAGGATCGGTCACCTGGAACTGTCCATAGGGGGAGGATCTGATGAGGGGCCTGCAGAAGTTTGGTCAGGCCTCCACTTGCCATCATCAATTATAGATCAGAAAAGCAAGGCCCAGCGGAGGAATAGGGTGAAGGCCTGAATTATTCAGCTGTCCTCCACCGAGCACGAAGCGGCTGAATCGTCACGGCAACAAGCCGCTGGCCACACAGACCCCTACACTTCGTCGATTTTCAGATCCATTAATAGTAG